CCAGGTGGGCAACAAGACAGTGACAGTTAGTGAATGCCTATCCATTTGTTAATAACAACAAGAATGACATGGCTGTCCAGCTATCCGGATAGCAGGGCTGTGGCTAGTAGACTTGAGATCAACAGACAACATCTACATCCCCAAACCCAACTCTGCTTGGGAGCTCTTCCGCTGTGACATGCCTGGCTCCAGACCATCCTTCAGCTTTTAGACGTCCCTTCCTCCAGTTTTCCCTGATAGTCCAGGCTGAGTGAGGCCGCCCAATTTCTGGGCGTCCCTGCCAATCCCCACCAGGCTTATTATTCTAAACTGCGATTCTCCATCTGTCTTCTCTATTACTGGACTTGGGGAGGAGGTCCACTCTGAACAGATGGGCCTCAAGGAGGCCACATCTGCAACATGGGATGAAAAGCTGAGGGTCCACAGGTTGAGGCTGTGCAGGCCCCGGGGAAGGAGTACAGAGCTGGGTGGGACAAAAGGCCAGGCCTCTCTGTTTGGGCCCACCCAGACGGCTTTGTCTGAGCTCTCTGCTCAGGTGGGTATGTAAGACCTGATGGCACTATTGGCCGGCCGGAAGCCCTGAGCTGCCTTCTGATTGACAAAACCAGGCAGTGTGGTCAGGGCCACCAGCGAAAGCATGGCTGAGGTCATGCGCAGACTAAATCTGGCACATGATGCCATGCAGAGGGTGGCAGGGGAGCTCGTCATGACTGAGGCCTGGGTCCCTGCTGGTGGTGGGCAACCCAGAAAATTCCACTAGGCCTGTGGGGTGAGTGACAGGAAGGAGCAGGCATGGACCTCCCAGGTTGCATGGACCCCAAGGGCCAGAACCCCGGACACTTTGCCCCACTTTGATTGAATTGGGCCACAGGCAGGACAGAGCCAGGCCCACAGGGATTCTTTGGATGGGGCCTAGAGACCCACCTGAAACCCACAGAATCTTTTTCTTACAGACCCCCAGGCAACAGTCCTGGGCTGGCTCTCCTGCCTCAGCCCTAGCAGGACCTCCCTCATGCCTGCCCAGGGCTGGCCACCCTCAGCTCATTTCCCTTCCTGATCGCAATCAGTCCAGCCTGCAGAGGAGGCTCTCCCTGGGCTGGGCTGAGGCAAATGCCCAGGGTGGAATCCCTTTCTTACAGGGAGCCAGGCCTCTTCCAAGCGGTCAGGCAAGACTGTGGCCTGCGGGGGGAGGGCAGGGAGTGTCCTGTGATTTCACCTGAAGCCGCTTCTCTAGAGTCAAGGCAAACCTCCAAGGAGACTCCTGGAGGAGGCCCAGGCTCCATCTAGCTCCCCTGGGAGGTCGCAGAAGCACTGTAGAGATACCTAGTTGTCCTCTACAGAGGCTGCTGAGCAGCCCCCTCTGAATCATGTGTGCTCTGTGGAATGTGACTCTCCGTTGCTCCCACAGGAATAGATGTTGGGTTGCAATCAGTGGGCCTCTCCAGGGAGCCGGGCCATACCTCCTCCTGCCTAACTTGCTCTGGCTGTCCCCTCCTCCCTTCCCTGCCTCTCATGGCCTCCTCCCATGGCCCCATCACCCTGCCTCAGGGGACTTCCATCCTACACTCTGGCCCAGCGAGGCCCTAGAGTCTCCCAAACTCCTCACCCTCTGACCCTAGGCTGCCAGACCTTCAAGGTCATCCCCAGGCAGTCAGCTCACAGACACCCAACCATGCCACCCTCCCTGCCTCCAACCCCCTAACCCTCAGGGGCTGACTTTGCTTCCTATTTCATAGGGAACACAGAAGCAATTGTCCCCTCCTGCCACCAAACCCGTGGACCCAACCCACTGCCCCTTCCCCTCCGGATGAACTGGGACCACCCAGGCAGCCTTTCCCTGATCTCTTTGCTCAGGTGGGCATGTGATACCTGACGGTGGGAGCCCTCCCAGTGTGTGCCCCCCTCAGGTACCCGCTTGCTGGCTCCACCATCCAGCTATTACACCCAGCTCATCTCCAGCAGAGAGACACTCAAACTTCTCCATCTGGAAAGATCCTTCTCTAACCCCTTGACTGCTCTAGCTGCCCCTATCTCTCTCCTTCCCTTCAGAATAAAACTTCTTCTAGAGTCTTCTACCCTCTCTGTCTCACCCTCACTCACTCCTCAGTCCACTGCCACCAGCTTCTGCCCCCACCACACACTGAAACTGCTCCCCTAGAGGCCCCAGTGGCCTCCTTGTCAATAATCCCAATGGCCACATCTTATCCTCACCCTACTGTACCCCTCCCACCCACCCTGCATCACCCCCTAATCTGTCACTTTCCAGTGCTGTTGAGATGGGTACTCAGCCTCTAGGGTCAGACAGACCTGCTTGCATTCAGTCTTCTTGGCGTCATTTCCTAGCTGTGTGAACTCAGCCTCTCTGAGCCTCAGTTTCCTCATCTGTAAAATGGGGATAATAATAGTCTCTGCCTCATAGGCTCATTGTGAGGATTAAATGAGTTATCCCACGAAAAGAACTTAGTGCCTGGCAATTAGTAAGTGCCGCTTAGTGGAAGTTAGCTGTTAGAGTCTTTCCCTGCACCCAGTTCTCTCCCTCCCCACCAGGATCAACCTACCCCAGCCTCCCCACCACTGTGGTCCAGAGGACTCCGCTGCCCCTGCACTGGCCACTCTGCTGTCCTGACTATTCCTGGCCCTTCTCCCCACGGTAGCTAAACTGGGCTTCCTGGGACCCAAACCTTCCAGTTACCACACCCCTCCCCAGCTGAAAACCCCATAATGCTTCTAATGCTCCTAGCGTGAAGCCTAAACCTCCTTCTCCTTTAATAGACTTTATAAATATTTTTAAAACAAGAGACAAATACTACAAACATCAAGATTTACAATAGGATTTTTCTACTCAGGATTTTTCTTTGCTACAATGCAACACAAAGTCAGGACTTTTAAGGAAATGTTTGGAATATTTAAGGAATGTTTAGCCTCCATAGCTTTAAAATTCACTGAGCTTTAAAATTCCCTCAAAAAGCCAATTTACATAAAAAAATAGAGGTTCTTCTCTGTAAGAAGTCACATTTTTTGTGCACAGATCCCCAAAACTTTTATGTAAGAATGTAAGAGGTAACTACGGTCAAGTAGTCAAGAAGCTCTGGGTCTCCATGGACCCCACCCCTGCCTGAGCTGAGTACTTCAAATCAGAACTGCTGGTGTATTTTAAATCAGAATTTCTTAAATGTCATTGATTCACCTGAGGACCTTGTCAAATGCAATTTTTTTTTTTGTGTGAGGAAGATCAGCCCTGAGCTAACATCTGATGCCAATCCTCCTCTTTTTTTTCTGGGGAAGACTGGCCCTGGGCTAACATCCATGCCCATCTTCCTCTACTTTATATGGGACGCAGCCACAGCATGGCTCTACAAGCAGTGCATCGGTGCGCGCCCGGGATCTGAACCGGCGACCCCCAGGTCGCCGCAGTGGAGCCCACGCACTTAACCGCTTGCGCCACCGGGCCGGCCCCTCAAATGCAATTTTTGATTCAGAAGGTCTGGGGTGGGTCCTGAGGGTCTGCACTTCTAATAAGCTCCCAGGTGATGCTGAAGCTGCAGGTCCAAGTCCCAGCTGAGGGAGTGTGACAAGGCTTTCAATCTGTCTCTCCTACAAGACTGTGAGTTTCTTAAGGAGAGGGACCACGTCTATTTTATTCACAGTGCCTGCACACAGCAAGTGCTTAATAAAAGTTTGTTGAATGAATTGTGCCTAGTGGGTACCCACTCCTAAGGCTCCCCACATGTTGTCTCGTTTCACTTGTGCCTCTGAGACATTCCACTTGCTTTCTGAGGATGCTCTGAGCCCGGCTCATGGTGGAGTCAGGACCATGTGTACTGGCTCTGGGCACTATGCTCACGTCATTGCCTTCGGTCACAACCTCTTCACCTGCCTCCTCTGTAGCCACATCCTGGTCCTTGTCTTCACCAGATCTGTTCCTGCTCAGAAGCCCAAAACACCCAAATTCCCCTGCCTCGGCATAACCTCCTATCCTTCATCTCCCCACGCTGATTGTATCACATTGCACCCCGACCCCTGGCTTTTCCATCCTGCCTCTTGTCTTTCCCCAACCCCAGGCCCAGTCATCTCAAATAACTCTTCCCAACGCCCCCAACATACTCACCCAAAACCCCCTGACCTGGGCCTGACATGTCCTAAAAGGCAGGGGTCCATCTTTTCCTTCAGGGACTGCCCTCTGGGCTCCCCACCCTTCTGGTCTTCCTGCTTCCTTTCTGATTGCTGTTTCTCTGGTCCTTTGTGGACTCTCCTCTGGTCTGTCCCTGCCCTCTTCCCCACTCTGCAAACCCTTCCCATTGGGCCCACACCTGCTGAATCTGTGCTCCAGCAGACTGGGTTCCAGAACCCTGCAACACAACTCTCTCCTTTGGTCACCAGCCCCCATCACCGGAGGTCCAGCCCGAAAGCAGGGAGTCGCCCTCTTGTCTCCTCCTCCCTCACCCCTCAGACCTTGCCAATCCTGCCTCCTAAACCTCCCCAGGCCAGCCCCCTTCCCCTGTCTCCCAGTGACAGCTTCCTCAAGGGCCCCTATCTTCAGGTCCCCAAGCCCAGCTCCTCTGTGCTACCAGAGGGACTGCGCAGGGTCTACAACCAGGCCTCCACCAGGGGCTAATATCCCACAACACAGGACAGAGTTGGGCTGTGCTGTTATCAGACCAATAAAAGAATGAGCACCTGGTACCCACCAGGAACAGAAAGTATCGACGAGAAGCTGCCCAAAGCCCGTGAGGCAAACCGCTGGGGGCTTTTAACACCAGTAACTCAGCTTTGAGAGGTGGTGTCAAGTGATGTGCTTCTCACTGCCTGAGCCCACACTTGAATGGTTAGCTGTGTGACAGGCTGCCAGACAAACTCTTGTCTGTTCCAGTGGGCCTTCACCTGGCCACCCATGTAGGACCAGGCAGTGCCAGAGGGTCAGGGCTGTCCAGGGGATGGCAGGACCAGGTTCCACTAGGCAGGAAGCCCCACAGCTCACAGTCAGGCAGCCGCCACCTGTCAGAGTTGTCCTCTCACTTGTCCCCACTCTGCCCAGAGGCCAGCCCATCTCTTATCCTCCTTGGCAAGATGAGGAGATACACTCTGAGTAATTTTTTTCCAAGTTTCACTGATCTCAAGTACTAGAAAGTGATGAATAAGTCTGTGGTTTGCTATGGAGGTTCCATGTCAGATAAAGATTCTTCCGATGCCCGCCCCTCTCACCCTGGGTGTGAGCCCGCTGCCGCTGCGCATAAAAGGCAGAAGCCTGTCTCAGACACTTCAGAACACCACGAAGGACCAAGAAAGAACCGAATGCGTCCCGCCAGCCCAAACATGAGCAGCCTCCCTGTCCTGCGTCTTCTCCTGCTCCTGTTCGCATTCTATGCCCCTCAGGCGCAGGGGAGGCCCTCCCCAACATCCTGGCACAGACTGATCGAAGAAATTATGGATGATCTAAACAAGCCACCTTCGCCTCCACAAGTGAGTAGCTGAGATAAAGTTGGCATGGGATAGGGAGGGGCTGGCGGGTGCCTCAGGCCAACAGGACTCATGGGCTCTCTCTCCCTCTTCCCCCACAGGACTCCTTGGACTTAAATGAGAGACAGATACTGCTGGTAAGAGCTCAGCCCGCACTTGGGTACACCTGCATCCCAATCCTCCTCTTGCCTGGGTGACCTCAGGCCTGTCACTCCACCGTGCCTAGCCTCAGTTTTTTCATCTGTAAATAGGGTTAAGAGCACCTATCTCAGTGGGGTTGTTATGAGAATTAAATGGCACAATAAAGTCATAAAGTTCCCAGACCAGTGTCTAGTGCTTAACAGGGGTTCAATGCATTTCCCTAGCCATGGCTATAATATGAAAATGATTTTTTAATTGCAAAATGAAAAGGCAGCTCTGTATGAACAATACCAAAGGCCTTAAGCTAACTTTTCACAGGGGCAGCCTCTGGACTGGCAGACTAAAATTTTCCCCATGAACATGCCTGCTTCCTTCCTTTTCTTTGAAAAGTTGAGTTGTTTCCCCCCTGACAGCCCTGGACACTCTCATCTGCAGTTCTTTTCCTAGTCCAGGGGGCTCCTGTGGTCATCTCACCTTTGTTTGCATGGCATTTCTTGGTCAAGCAGAGGTTGAGTCTCCCCTGAGCGTATTGGCCGTCTGTATTCACCTCTTCCAGACACTCATGGTTCACGTGCTGCACCCATTTCCATGCTGGGGTCTCTGGAACTCTCTTCCTGATTTCTAGAAGCCCCGAATTCAGTCGAGGCATTAACCTTATTATCTGGCCTCTTAGCAGCAAATACATCCCTTCGCCAGCCCTCTGTCTTTTGTAGAGCTTCTTTTGGGAAATGTTTTTTTCCACAAGTGCAGAAAGATCCACCCAGGCCCTTTATGCAGCTCACATGGAGCCAGGGCTCGGGGGGGCATGGGGGAAGGAGGCCTCTCCTGGAGTGTGCACTCACCCCTAGGCCTGTGCCCTTTGGGGCAGCTCAGGCTCGCACCTGGGGCAAGAAGGGGACTAGCAGGGGTTGTCCAAGGATGTTCCTGAAAGCAGGCTTGGTAAACTGTGGGGATGACTTCAGCATGGCCATGGGAAGGACATTCCCCAAGCTTCGCCCTTAACATGTATTCTTTGTCCTCTTAGGATGAGACCCTTTTGAGGCCAAACCTGGATGCATTCCTGAAAGCTGCCACTAATTTCCAAGAGAAGGGATCACGAATTGGGAAAAATCTTGAGGTGTGTGCAGCTGTCGAGGGTTTTTGGGATCCCTGCCTTGGCCTTGCCCTGCCTTTGGGGAGGAGGGTAGCAGGGCCTGCTCCTGTCCCAGGGGAGTTTCTGACTGTCTGCTTTGGTCTCTCCCTATAGGAATTACAGTCATGCCTGCCCACCCTCATGCCCACGGTAAGCCGCCCCCCAAGATGCCCCTGCAGATGGCACCTTCAGTCATGACCTGCCCCCCCAGTCTGTCATGTGCCTTGCAACCTGGCCTCATCTAATGCCATCTTCCTGGTTTCTTCACAGGGAGACCCAATCCAAATCAAGGAGGGGAACTGGGGTGATTTCCAGAGGAAATTGGAGAAATATCTGAAAACCCTTGATAACTTTCTGAGTCCATAGACATTGAGCCCTAAAATTTTCAGCCCAACGTCCAGCGCTCTCTCTGGACCTTCTCACCACAGAGCCTTAGGACGTCAGAAACAGCAGAATGTCTGAAGATTCTGGGACACCTCTCACACAGTCCAGGACTGGGAGGATTTCATTTTCTCCATAATTAATGATGAATTATTAATAATTTAATTTTTGAAATGTGCAGCCCCCAGTTGGCCTTTTGCAATGATGTTCTCATTTTTATCCTATTGAGGCTATTTATTTATGTATGTATTTATTTATTACCTTGTGCAATGTGAAGTGTATTTATTTTAGCAGACGAGCCATGTCCTGCTCCTTCTGAACAAGACTCAGGAGGGGGACTCAGGGGCGTGTTCATTTGTACCTCAGGTTTTTAAACTGGCTTCTACACATCTGTGAAAATAAACCAAACTCTCTGAACAACTGCTCTGTCGCCAGTGTCTCATTTTGACTCAGGTCTTGGTAACTCTCTTGCCTGATAATTTAGCAGCCCTCCCCACCCCCAAACCCCACCCCACCCCTGTAGGCCTCCCTGCCACCAGATGGGCCCCGGAACTGACACTTTGGCAATCTGCAGTCTATTGGGGAGCCAGATTGAGTTTTGGAAAATGCAGATCTGGCCAGGTTGGTCTGATACTTAATTTCCCAGTCCTCAGGGTCTTCTGGACCTTGTCCATATCCTCAGGACAGCATAAAAGCCCTACGTCCACCTGTTGCTTCTATTTTCTTACTCCCATAGCAACCAGCCTCCTCGACACTCCAGCCAACAGAAGTGCTGTCACTTCCTGGATGAACCACACACCTTTCTTCATACCTCTAAACCTTTACCCACACCGTGACCTCAGCCTCGCATGTCCTGATCCTGACTCGGCAGGGTGAGTTCCTACTTCAGAGACCAACTCAACTGCTGCCTACCTCTGGGTTGTCCACACCATTCCAGACAGAGCTCTTCTCTGAAATAGGTGGGTAGGCAGGGACCCACTGGAAGGGCAGCCAGTGTGCCCTGAGGTGGCACAGACCAACCTGGATGGTGGAGGCTGGGGCATCGCTGAGTGTGGCTTCAGTCTGCCGCCTGACCCTTGGGGCCCCACTGACCCTTTAGCCCCTGAGTGCCTTCCTCTCTGGCTCCCCTGCATCCCACCCGGCTGCACCTCCTCCAGTCTGCGGGTGTGGGGAGGAGGGGCAGAGTGAGCCTTCCTCTGTCACGATGATAAGGAGCAATGTCACCCTCTCTGACTGCTCACAAGTCCCAAAAAGATCCGAGTGCTGACACTGGATGCAAGTCCCTTATTTCTGTTTTCCACTTTGATCCACCCCTCGCCTGAGGTTGTGAGTAGGGAATAGCCCAGCTACTTGAATGGGACAGGAGGAGATGAAAGAGTCATCTGCTACTTGCTCAGAAAGATATTCCTCCACATTCCTCCTCCTAATAAATTTTTGTGTTCCCACAAAAATAATTTTCTTCTTGCCCTGCCCCACTGCTCCCCACCCCTGCCCACTGACAGCTCTGTGCTGCTCAGGGAAGATTCATTGTTGGAGTTGGCCCTGGAAGGAGTTGAGGATGCTGCTGCAGTTTCTAGTGGAGCCACTAGGGGGAGGCGTGCCACAGAGTTAGAGCACACCAGGGCCCTGGGGGGAGGTGAGCCTGAGAGCACGTAGTGAGAGGCCTAACTCTAGACTGGGTTTCCCATTTCTCCTGCTTCCCTGCCCCCACTTGCCCTCCCACCCACACTTGGTGGCTGGTCCTATTTTCATCCTGGGCTAAGGCAAGCATCTGTACCCCACTCCCTTGTTCCCAGGATGAGTCACCGCTTGTCACCTCCTCTTCACTCCTTGGAGAGTGGGTCAGCAGCTGTCCGCCTCTGCCAGTCCTGCTGCCCTCTGCCCTGGTGAGGAGGAAATGGGTCCTGTGGCCTGACCTGCCATGCTTCTCTCACACCTTGTCCTCAGGGGGCAAGAGCCGGTGGCGGCTGGATCCAGCTCATACTGGCTCACAGAGCCAATTGTTACATCTTTTTAAAAGTTGCCAGCCCGTTATCAAACCATCTGTAGCTTGAAATTGGCCACGGTGAGAGTATTTACACTATCAAAATCGGCAAATGCTACAAAGCAGACTCTTTCCCCTATGAGTCTGTTGTTAAATTTATACTATCTGCTGGAACTTCCCTCACTTGAGGTGTGGGGAGGTAGCCAGCAGCCCGCCATTTTGCTCTTTTTTGGCTGTCCTCCTCCAGGGCCCCTTCTTGAAGCTCCTGGCCCTTTGTCCTGGAGCCACACTATTCTCACTCCAGGCTGGATGGCGCTACATTCCTTCAGTGCTGTAGAGTTTGTACATTCAGCAAACACTGGCTGAGCACCTAGGTGTCAGGCCCTGTACTGGACGCTGGGGATATGGCCGGGAACTAGACAGATGGAGCGGGTCTGGGAGATTGCGTTAGATTGAGTGGTCTGGGTAGGCCTTTCTGAGGAGGTGACGTATAGGTTGAAACCTGAATGACGAGAAAGTACCAGCCATGTGGCTATCAGGAAGGAAAGAGCTCTGGACAGAGGGAACAACAGCCAGTGCAAAGATTTAGAGACTGAAATGAAGGAAGGAAGGAAGACCTGTGACAGGAGTGAATTCTGGTAGGGAGCCCCAACTCTCACTCAATCTCTCTCCCTTCACTCTTCAGGCCCAAGCCCTGTGTTAGTGACTGATGACTGCAAGAGGCAGGGATTAGTGGTCAGGTCAGACACAGACCTGGTGCAGGAAGACTGGAGGGTTCAGGGAGGGAGGTCAGCAAAGGCAGGACCCACAACAGGAAGAGCAGTGACCGTGGAGGTGACATGCTTGAGAGGGGGGTGGGTCTTTTCAGATATCGTTGTCCTTCTTATGGAGCCGTCCAGCCTGCTCCAGGTTAGACTAAGATGAATGTGGGCCCGGCCCACTCAGGCTCACCCTTGGCCCCAAACCTCAGACCCTGCCTGGGGCCGCACAATCTGGCCCAAGCACAGCCCTGGGCTGGGGCCCAGAACAAAGTGGTGGTCAGTTCCCAGTCAGGTTAGGTATTTCTACGTCATGCTCAGCCACCTGCACGGAGAAGGGTGATGACTCCCTCACTCAATAGGAAGCCCTCCCTGCCCCCCACCCCCACCCCCGGCCAGGTGCTCGCACCTCCCCTGCAGTTCTGTCACATTACAGACAAGAGTCTTTTCTCTGGGCCTGCCCAGACTCTCCTTAGTGCCTGGTCTATAAGTCCAGTTGCCACCAGGGGGCAGCAACGTCCCATAGTACTACCCAGGATGGCCCTCTGACGGCCAATGTTCCTGTCTGCCCAAATCCAAGGTGCCTCTTCAGCAGGGAAGTAGATTATCTCAACCAGGGATTTTATTTTTTATTTTAGTTAAAAAATTATATAGTTTTTCATTGGGAGGGAAATATAAGAGAGCATATATGCTCCTTCCTCACAAACTTGGAAATACAGAAAAATAAGGCAAAGAGAAATTGCCAGGAAAGCGAGTGCCTAAGAAGAGAACTCAGCCAGGCATCGCCCACCTCACTACACGATGTGAATCCTCCTGCTCCAGGAAGGGGCTCTGCTCCTCCCACCCTGGCCTCAAATCTGCGTTTGACTCCGTTCAGCAAACACCCTGAGGACCCCCTGCGGCTTACCCAGGCTAGGGCAGGGGGCTGGGGAGACATTGAGTCCGGCCTTTGGGAGCCTCTTGGCCATGCCCGGTTGGCCCAGCACAGCGTGGTGGGGGTTATTACAGACAGAGCAATGGATGGACGGGTGTGGATCTCGTCAGAGGTGCTTCCCACAGGAGGTAATGCACGGGGAGCTTGAGAAAGGAGTAGGAGTTCGCCAGGCAGAGAGGTGCAGAGAAGGAAGTCAGGCAGATGGCACTGGGGAGCAAGGGCACGAAGGTCTGAGAGTGCAGGGTAAGCTGGGGGCACAGGAGCGTCCAAGGAGTTTATAGGGCCAGAGTGTGGGTGCCAGGTGGCCAGGGGGAAGCAGGCCCCCCCAGAGCTCCTTTAGTCAGTGCCTTTGCCCCTAGAGCCCAGCCAACCTGGACCCCAGGCACCTCTGGGACTCAGTCTGGTACCCACCCCCCATTCTGCCTTCCCTGGTCTCAGGCCCACCTAGCTTGGCCTGGCCACTGTGGAGACAGCAAGACTGGACAACCATGGCCTGAGGATGGTGGGTGTACAGAGAGGGAGGGATAGGATGGGACCACATCCGACATTGTGTTTAACACCAACAGGAAGGAGGCAGGGTAGAGGGAGAAAGATGCTGGAGGAAAGAGGGACTGGCCAAGCAGAGCAGGATCTCTGGGCCCCTAGTGGGAGGGAGGGAGAGGCAGAGGTTGTGCGGGGCAGAGTGCAGGCCTGTGAGTTCTCACCTGGGGCAAGGAGCTCAATTTTCCCCTTGAAAACCTCAGGGCAGGCTTGTGGAGGGGGAGTTGGATCAGGCAAAGTTGCTGCTGCCTTCCTGGACTGGGGAGGGACTTAGGAAATCCCTCAACAACCGGATAAAGTCTATGATTACCCTCATTTTACACACGAAGAAACGCAGTCAGAGAAATTAAGGGAGTTTGACTCCAGAATCTCTGAATCCTTAAGCCACAGTGCTTTTGCCAATGCACACCGAGGCACAGGAGCCTTTTGAGTCTGGCCCAGGGACCATCTGAGGTCTCCCCGATGAGTGGACCCAAGACTTCAGAGGTACCTCTTGGCTCCACAGCCTCCTGGTTCCAGCCCCAGGGGTGAGCAGCACAGCAACAGTACCTCAGCTCCATCCTCCATTCACTGAACCACCACACGTTCATCACCAAAATCTTCTGCATGCCCATCTGTCCCCCTCCTACCTAGCACCACCCCCATACACACACACTGAGGCTTAGATCCAGAGCTTGTCCCTCTGTGCTCCTGTCCATGAGTCCCCCCAACCCCCACCGAATGGAGCTTCTGAGAGAGAGGCCACTGGGTCACAGCCATCTCCTGCCTT